TTGACAAACAACTCAGAACTCATCCAAACATAATTCATAATTGGATGTCAAAAATAATATTATGTGGCTTGTTGGATTGTTCGATGAATTGCAGGTTAATAATGGTTTGCATGGATCGTCGTGCTTTACACCAAGAAAAAATCTAGGCATCACACTATATATTATGTCACACAATGAGTTTATTTGTATTGCTTCTAAGCGACTCCAACGCTCCAAAGACGAATAGTTAGTATTTCAACATCGGGGTTAAGTCTGATGAAATTTTCAACCAATATTGTGAAACTCATATATCTTGCTTTTTGCGCAAACACTAAGAGAAATTTGTAGTGATACGAGAAACATATCGTTTCTATTTATTTTGACATTAGTATTTTACAACAAAAAAAATAATAATCTAACGAATATTTTTAAAATTGTATCGGTGCAATTAACGACACATGTTGCACGTATTGATAATGATGAGAAGATTGCATGTATCAGAATGTGTGGAGCTGCTACATAGAATATCTTCGCAATTCATGATTTCAACGTGTGTTTTACATTCATGATGGTTGGATGGGAAGGAAATGCTCAAGATAGCCGGACATTCAAATTTGCAACCTTGCGACGTGACTACAAATTTTCAATGCCTCCATCATATTAGTACATTAAAGAACGTGTATAAAATGTTTGATTTGAGGATATGTAATAAAGATGATATTATTCAAGAAAATATTACATTGTCGCTTCGTGTATCCATTACAACAAAACTTTTTAAAGTCGCTCCCCGATATGAGGTATCGTCTTTATGAATTGAGCGCGACAGTCAAGTGATTAGAGGAATTAATGAATTCTTCAATAAAAGATATTCGTCATTACGGAGTGTTATAAAGAAAACATTTGGTGTATAGAAAAAATGGGTCATCATTTGAGATATGTCGACATATTTCATCAAAAAAAATGTCAAGATCGTTGTTGCAGCGAAACCGCTACATAATTTTATACAGAGGCATCCATCCAGGGAAGATATTGATTTCAGAGTCTTGGATGAAGAACAAACATGCATGTCTATGGAAGCATTAAAACATCGAGTCGAGCAATCACTGCCCGATGAAGACTTTGATACGAATGAGTACAACACATCCAAAGGAGAAGGTATTCAGGAGATAATCAAGTTAAAAAAGAGATTAAAGATGCTTTGGTGAACTCATCAATTATATTTACGTAATATTTTAGTGACTTCTCGTGGATACTTCCTCCTTCAGTTGTACGGTAGAATTTTAGATGTCTACTTTCTATATTTATGTGGCATTTTATCTTGAGAAATTGTTGGTGTGTGCTTTTTTTATAATAAAACTAAATATTCTTTTATTGTTCTATTGCATATGTAGTCTATTTTTTAATTAAAACCATAATATATTACAATCACAGCAAAAATAAGTTCAAGATCATCAGATACTTCGAGAACTCTATATTTTCACTGTGGTACGCAGTATTCTGAGCACACATCAAGAAAAAAAGTCAGCTGTGGGAGGAAATTTTATTGTTGTCCCAGAAACAGGATACCATATGATTAAAAGTATTTTCATTGGGTTGATGATACAGATTAGTTCACTTCAGACAGTAATCAAGTGATGAGAGATGTTGTTGCAGAGAAAAAATATGCTAAAGAATTGAACATCAGGACAAGATGAAAGCCATTATAGCCTTGTTGGTTATTTTTGTGACTCTTATTTTTATGAATATATACATGAAATGACTATTCACAATTGATGTATTATAGGATATTGAACTCCTCACGTGTTTTGTATTGTTAGACCTGTTTTTGTTATTATGTTATACTTATTTTAAAAACTACAGTTATTCAAAGAAATTACATAAGACTAAAACAGTCTTTTTCATCAGAAATAGTTGCAACACAATATATTATTAAAACAGACTATTGTTTTTCCAACAACAGTTTTCTGACAGCACCTAAGAAGTTATTTAGTAATACTTATTTAAAATAAGTGTTTAAACAATCATTTATGATATGAGCCCTCATTAGGTTAGCGAGAAAATGTGTCTTGATCCAACATATGACATCAATGACTAGTGAAAGGACGTAGGGGCTATTTCGATTGCTGAAAAGAAATGTTGTGTAAAATAAATGCAGTGCAAAAGTAATGTATTGTTGTTGAAATACTTCGACGTTGTTTGGTTCAACGTTTGTGTATATATATATATATATATAGATACATACATACATACATACATAATACATATATACATATACATACATACATAATACATACATATACATACATACATATACATATGTATGGATGTATGTATGTATATGTATGTATATGTATGTATGTATTATGTATGTATGTATGTATGTATGTATTATGTATGTATGTATTATGTATGTATGTATTATGTATGTATGTATGTATATCTATATATACATATGTATCTATATATACATATGTCATACATAATACATACATATACATACATATACATATGTATGAATATACATATACATACATACAGACATACATCTATGTATATGTATATACATACATGTCTATTTGTATACTATCTATATACATATCTATCTATGAATGCATATCTATCTATCTATATATACAAATCTTTCTATATCTATATCTATCTATATATACATATCTGCCTAAACCTATATCTAACTATCTATACATATCTATATATATGCATGTATATCTATTTAGATATATCTATATATATGCATGTCTATCTATCCATATCTATGTATATATACATATCTATAGATAATGTATATATAGATAGTTATGTATACATAGATAGATATGCATAAGATATATATGTATATAGAGATAGATATGGATAGATAGATAGACATGCAGATGAATTGATATGTATAGATAGATAGACATATATGTGTGTGTGTGTGTCTATGTATATATATGAAAATGTGTACATCATTTTTAAAATTTAAGGGTATCTTTAGGGCGGCGATGTGGTGCCCAACCACATTTTATTTTTATTTTGGCAAAATTGTGTTTTGTCTACGTTCTCAAAAAACTACACCCGTAATCTACGTTTTTAAATTAGACCTAACTTTTGGTGCCTGCTAGAAACTACTGTCTGACTTAAAAAAATATTTGTAATAGTCATCGTATCATTTGAAAAGTGTTTTCTTCTTCGGCAGCTTCATGGGGCCTCAAATATAACCTAAAATAGTGATTTTTTTACGGTAAAGTTTAGATGCTAGTTATGTAAATATAAAGAAGTTGTGGGGCATCTATGTAAATGCTCTTTTATCACAGGTAGGCCCGTCTCCCTCTTTCCTCCTCTACTCAAATCTCTCACTCTCTCCCCTCTGGCCACTCCCCCTGCACCTCCGTCTCTAAACCTCTGCAGCCAGCTTGCTCCTCAACATCGAGATTCCTGCTCCCGTCGGCCAAATCTGCGGTTCTTTCAAAGCCCTGGACGCTCTGCGGCTGCGAGAGCCCAAAAAAATGTATATATATGTATGTATGTATGTATGTATATGTATATATAGATACATACATATATAGATACATATATATATATGTGTGTGTGTGTGTGTGTGTGTGTATGTCTTCACATTTTCTTGTTTGATCTGAAGAAAAATAAATTAAAATAAAATACATAATTGGGCAAAGGCGACCAGTGATGACGTCAATAGGCAGCTGGAGGTTGCAACGGCCAACATCAGCTTTGAGTTGATTGCAGGTGAGTATGCCAAGTGGCGATTAGTGGGGGACAAAAAATGGGTGGTGGGTGGCGGTTGATAATTGGCGAAAGGAGAAACGTAGGTAGCGGGCGTCAGGTGGCGAGAAGCAATAGTGTTGGCGGTCGGTTTTGGTTTACGAGTCAGGGAGCGATGACATATATGTGGATGATGACTGCGATGGCAATAGCGATAAGTGGTAAACAAGGGGCAGTTGACTAGAGGTTGTTGAAAGTGCAAAGCTGCAGGCATCAGCAGCGGTGGGTTGTGGGCAACGACAACCACGGGCAGCAGGCAGCAGAGTACGGGCATTGGCTGCAGCGGGCGGCGAGTATCGGTTGCAGCAAGCTATGGTTATAGATTGCGACGAGCTGCGAGTATCAGTTGAGGTGGGGTGCAGGCATTGGAGGCGTGCAATACGTGACATAAAGTAATATATTTTGAATTCACCCAAATCCAATGAATTCCAAATAAATAAAAAATGAACTAGATTATGAATATCAAAAAGTATTGTAATTTTAAACTATATTTAAAATTCAGCTACCCAGACAGCCAAATTTCTGAAATTCCTACAGAATGAATGCAACATTCATTATTCAGTAAACACAACAGCCCTATTGGTGATGGCCCTTAATTGAAACTTCCCATAAAAGTTAATTCAATATATATGTTCAATAGTAAAAATAATATAAACATATTGCTTATAGTTGTGTCATGTGCACAAGCAAAAAAAGAAGAAGAATTAGTATTGGTTATGGTTCCACTTGGAGAGCCCATGACACTAAAATTAGCTACATGAATAAAATATTTGCAGCCATGCTTGAAGGGAAATCTTTCCAATAGCGCACACTCTCTTACTTTAAACGATTAGAACAGCACAATACAAAAAAGCTTTGATGTTCAAAATAATAAAAATGCTTGCATGAGATCCCATTAATTACTTGTGCATAGAGCATTTAGGGTATAAACATGGCAATTGTTGAAGACGTCAATCTAACAACCATGGTTGAGCCACATTAACTAATATATACATTGTGAGTCATCAGATCTTCAGTCATGTTGGGATAACCCAATAATAGTCTTGATCCAAGGTAGCATGCAACACCATGCTGCCAAAGAAAAAAATGTAAACGAAGCAATGATGGATTTTCCCCTCACTTTGAAGAAAGAGCCTTGATGGATTGCGCCCTCAAAAGTTATAAAAGGCTAATCAAATGATAAGCATGATCCATTCAGTTACAAATTGAACCAGTGGAACTATATGGGATAGGCAAATCACCAAGTCAAGTTGGACCATCCTTTGCTGCGACAAGCCATCAGCCTGGAAGTTTCTCTAAGCAACCTAGGAATGGCAAGCATGCCAGACAAACCAACCCCTGCTATTTAAGTGGTAAAGTTCTAGTAATCAGCGGTCTTAAAGAAGCTTTAAGTGGTGAGAATGGCATGCAATCACCTATCCTCTTCCAAGGCAATAGCAATACACGCAACAATGAGTGATGGCAAAGTTGGACTGTTGTCATGGCTCTTTTCAATCAAAGAGAGCATTGCTCCTCAATCAAGATGGTTACTCGACCTAAATACAGCATAACAAGAGACAATTAGTCCCTGAAGAGGAATTCAAAGGGGTTTGCATTGATTTAGAGCATTCATGAAGTGTCATCACACAATGCCACCCACCATCGGGAGAGCATAAAAGAACATTAGTTTTTTCATAGCGAAATATTTATACACAAATTTGTAGAAAGTTGATCTCTTCCGAACCATATGAAGAACCTCCAAATGCCGGCATGATTTGCAGCACGGATAAATTATCTACTTGTGGTATTCTACAATGGTTGTAGGAATTCTGCCATGAAGAATATCTCAAAATCCTGCCAAACTAGGGAATTGGATGCATTAAAGAAAGCTACAAAATGGCTGACAGAATCCAATCTCACACAAACTAATACAATGGCATGTCCATCATACATGTCCTAATGTTGAGGATTTGACTTCAACTGAGTTAAAAGTGTTACTCAAGACACAATAAGAATAAATTTTGAATAGCCAATTGCCCTCATTCTAGTGATTAATATACTCGTGCTGAACCTAAAAAAGGATTCACTCAAAATTGAGATAAAAAACTTAGCCCATGACCAGCATTAACTCGTTAATGGATAGCATGACAAAAATAGCCATGTCCGCAGAATATAGATGTCTATCATAATCCATGAAAGGCATATATCCATCCCAAAGTACAACCAACCTTTGGATTCCTTAGCATAAAAGTAAGAACATAAGCTCAGTCTTCTACAAGCCCAACAATCTCGACAGTGGTAAAAAATCAAGACATGGCAGCACGAAATGTATTATCATGGCAACATAACAGCATACATACTCTAACAAAAATGATTTTCGTCTTCATATATAAATTGTTCTACATAACTTAGACTATTAATGCTATAGGGGTCAGGACTATGATAAAATTTAAAAAGAAAACCAATTCCATGACTGACCATGAGCAATTTCAGCAATAAACAAATTTCTTGTAATCCACAGGACTCAATCTCTCTCCTGGTTATACATTCTTATTATAGATTCTAGTCTGCAATATAAGAAGTTCAAAATTTCCATAAACAGTTCATCCATTGTCACTTCAGTAACACAAATTTGCATATGATAACAAAAATAAACAATTAATCCAAGGCATAAATAAATTGAGGATGTGTTAGAGGAACCTATCATCAGAGCATCCATGACATTCATTCAACGTATTTTTAATACTTTTAACCATTTCCAACAGGGCAAATATATTATATTTTTTTCCCAAATATGTCTAAAAAGGGCAAATATATTATATTTAAGTTTCTTCCCAATCATGATCAAATTGACAAACAAGCATAATACAAGAAGCTCTTATTTGAACAATAATAAGTAAGGAAAACAACCTAAGACAGTCTGTCTACTACAATTTTGTAAATTTAAGATTAAAACATGCAGAAAACCTACCTTTCGACTTGTAGACTCTATTGAAACCTCCGGGCGAGATGCATAGCCTCCTATAACTTCATTAGTCAACTCCTCATTAGTCAACTCAGATGCTGCAATATTAAGAATTAATTCAATTTAGAATGGCATCAAAATCAAGATGTTAATAATCAAGAAAAAAATTACAGAATATAAAATTCAAATAACTCCTAAGGAGATATTGAAATCTCCATTATAAAATACTGCCTAACTAAACAGTCTTTGATAAAATTATTTATTGAACATTATCCATCAAATTCTAGCCAAAAAAAATATATGTATTTATCGTAGAAACAAATATTTCTCAAATAACTCAATTAGCACTCATATAAATAAAACTTTATCAAACAGTTGTCCCGATAATTTATTACATTGAGAAAACACAAAGTAGACCAGTAATTGGCAAGACAAGAACAAAATAAAAATCCGAAAAGGCCCTGAAAAAACACCATTAAATTGGGAGTTAAGTTTTAGAAGATAAAAAGTCATTCATGAATCAAGAAAAGTCAGCTGACGGAAAACAAAGCAAAGCATCCAGCTGATAAGCATTGGCAACAACTCAAAAAGACTAAAAGGCAAATATCTCAAGGAACACATTTCCCACCATTTTAAAATTTTTTACAGTTTTGGCACATTTTCACACAGATTTTCATATTAAAAATGCCATAAGCATGTGCGAAGGGAGGGAGTCAGTATGAAGTGCAGTTAACTACTTTATAAATCGAAAAAAAAAAGGTAAAATTAATGAACTTTATCTAAACAAGCAAAATGCATAAAATTTTGGGGCATTGACAAAAATGGCACAAAATTCACGTGTATTTACATTTCTCATACCTAAACTTTCATATTTAGGCACAAAGCACTTAAATCTTTAATATAACATCAAAAATAGCACTAGTATCACTTTTTAAAAGTGGAATAATCTGTTAATGCACATGTTTAAAGGACTAAAGTGCTGTTATGAAAATATGAAAGTTAAGATGTGAAACTTGTAAATAAGAATTGCTGTTGCATGTGTAAATTTCCCTAAAATTGTTTGCCTTATCTATCAAACAAACACAGATAACTAACATATTTGTGACTTCTCTTCAACTATGGTTCCACGGTAGCGACGGGAAGCATGAGAATGGACACTGAAGGAAGATTTACTTCCAAAATCCTCTGATCCATAGGAACCAGACTTCTCATCCTCATCCAATGATGCAACTGCTGATATGGTTCTTTCTGAAGGAACTTTAAATTCTTCAACACCTTTGGATGCCTTTTTAGCTCTAGCTAATACATCCAAGCCTGCCCAAACCATAATGCCAAAATTATTAGTACAAAAAACATAACATAAACAGTAAAGGCAAATAAGATCTAAAGGCCAAAAGACGATAAGAATGTCAGTTGATGCAGCGATAAATAAGATAATGAAAAAAAGGGAGTGCAAAGGAAAACAAGATATAAGAGATAAAGAAAAAATTAGGCCAATTTTATACGAAAAAATGCTAATAATTTTGTGTGCGGATTTAAAGCTTCAGGAAATTTTAACTAAAAAGAAACTCCAATGTTATAAGCTGCTCCTATATTTAAAGAAGAAAAGTAGGAAATACGTGAAACACCCATCGTAGACAAGATGATGACATCAAAGACCCGGGGTACAAAAATAATCATACAGAAATTAAATCGTGGCATCAATGGCCAGCCAAAAATAGCATAAATTGAAAATAAAAAATAATAATAAAGCTCGTAGATCTAAATATTAGACAGTTTGCCCAACATGAAATACTTTGGGATTCACAGAGATGAGATGAAATCAAAGAATCGTCTTATATAGGAGCTATTTATAAGAAACTAGAGATAAATCCCATTATTACTGGCAAACTATAAACAAAGAAGAACAAAAATAATAATAAAATAAAGCTGTACCCAGAACAGATTTTTTTTCTTGGATTCTAAAGAGCGGCCGTTCCTTATTTGGCAAGCTCAATCCGCCTTTAACACCAGTCTCAGGTGCCAAAACATCAGCCGTCCTATTAATATCAACAACATGAACTTTTTCCTGCATGAACAGAGAATAAATTACTACTGGCAAGCAAAGATAAATAGTCTCCACCAAACATCACAACATAAGCTGGTGTCTTTCCCTGTATAAGGTTTTTAATATCAAAATAAGCATCAAACTTACATCCATAATAGCATAAAGGTTCTCAACCAGCCATATCACTATATGAAACCTGCAAAAAAGAAAAAGATAAAAATGTAAGCACCGAAATGACTGCATATATTGTTTCAAATATATGCATTTAAATCAGCAATAACCAACGAATAAGTTTTCACAGCTAATACAGAGTTACTCGCTATTTTTGTCTCTAGCACAACTAAGAACAATGTTAAATAAAGAAAGAAAACAAATCAAATACAATGCAAGAGCCTTGGACAGAGATTTACCAAACCTGAACAAAAGCAGGGGATAATCCAAAAAGTTGATAAATACACGAGATATGTAGCTGTTATTTTAACAAATAAAATGTTCGCTAGAGAAAATTTTGGATAAAAGCAAGTCTGGTGAGAGAAGGAAGAGAGCAGAAGAAAAATCAAACCATTCGACTATAATGCTGCAAATACACAATTAAACACTGGATGATCCAAAAGAACGTCAGCATCACAAATTTTAAGAATTTTATATAATCTTCAGATTATTCAAGAAGCTTCCAGAGAGTTCCCATGATTCCAAGAGGTTCCCAGAAGTTTCTAAAAGTTGAGAGGAGTGTTCCACATCAACGTATCAACTAAAATTCCATGTTGCCAAAGTAGGGGACAACTATGTAGTGAAGGATTCAATTTTTTATTTCCTAAAATAAACATGAAATGTGAAATGGAGAATTTCAAAAAACATCCTATCTACCAAGATTGGTCGGCCACATTAGTAGGACAAGGATGCATGTTGAATTTCAATTTTTTTTCCACTATTGGTTAGCTATTTCTTAAATTACTTTCAAGCAAGAACAATTTTGAATTGTATTTTGAATTTCTTTATAGAATTTTTTTCATCACTATTTAAAGAGGTCGTTGCAATCATTTCAAATCATTAAATAAAATTTGATATTGTCATCTAGATGGCTGCATTATCAATGACTGCATTATCTAGATGTCAGAATCATAGATGTTTAACTCATTGTTCTTGTATTAAAGATGTCCGCGTTTAAGAATGTAATAATTTGGTTTTTTGCTATCTATAAATTATATTACATATATGGCAAGTTTGCCCAATTGTACCTTTAAAAAATTGCTTTTTATTCAAATGTACGGAGAGAGATAGGTGTAGAGACAGTCAAATAACTTATTTCGACCTACAACGTGTTAAACACAATACAATGCAATCTCCATAACCTCAAACTAATCAAGATCAAACGAATCTTCCAATGCTGCATTCTTATTACCTCAATATACGACTTTAACATTAAAATACAAGAAAAAGTGACACGTCAAAATATATTTTTATTTTAGGAGAAAAGGACCATGAAGTTTTATTTTTATTATCTTTTCAATGTTAGCATCCTTCCAAGCTATCACTCCTCAACAAGAGATACAATGGTAGTAGTTGACTCCAGTGTATTTTGACTTGATTCTACACAGTGCAATAAAAATTTGAGTTGATTTGTTTCTTTATAATTTTCGCATTTTCTTGCACCCTTTTATCCTGATACATGGACTGAATAAGTTGCAAATAATACTCTTATAATTATTCTAATATAGAATAATTCCAAAAATCAGAAAATTTGTTCTTGATGATAATCCAACAAAAAGAGTTGTAAATGTGGCCTTGCTTCAAGAAAAGGCCTCAAATACTCAGTCAGTAATAGACCAGAAGAATCTAAGAGGACCCTCTATTTGTTTTGCAATAAGAAGTTTCAACTCAACTATCTACCGATACATCAAGAGAAAACCGGTGAAGTTAGATGATTGAATGAAAAAATCATGTTGTGAAAACTTTCAACTATAGCCGGTAAGTTTTAAGAAAAATAAAATCAAAGAAATAAGTGATACTTCGATATCAAGAAAGATTTAACCTAAATACCATCAAACAAAAAACATACCTGCATAAAACAGATTAAATTCAATCTACTCTGCAAGTCTCACAAACTTCTATTCCTCTGAACACGCTTTGGCCCCTTCGATGAATTCTCTAGCAAGCACCCATAGTGATTTCCTCACTTCCTTGTCGTCCAGGCCTTCAGGATTTAAGGGTTATTTAGTAGCAGGATTTGAACAGGATTTGTGCATAATTTAACCTAAATCCTGTAAAACATCAAAAACGACATCCTAAATCCTACTAGGTTGTTTGGCTACTAGTAGATACTAAACCTAGTAGGATGTAATACGTTGTTGCTCCCTTCGATTAATTCTCCAGCTAGCTCCCATTGCGATTTGCTCGCTTCCGTCTAGGCCTTCGAGATTTAGGGGTTGTCTGGTAGTGTAGGATTTAAGCAGAATTTAACCTAAATATTGTCAAACAGTGAAAAAGACATCCTAAATCCTATGAGGCTATTTGGCTACTAGTGAAAATTAACCTTGGTAGGATTTCATAAATCCTTAAATTTGTAAATCCACTCATTCCTTAATTTAGTATATCCAAATTTAAACCAAATCAAAGGAAGAAATAGATTTACTAAATCCAAAATTTTGTAAATCCATGGAACTCGTGCATTTTGCAAAACGCCGCTCACACTTATAAGCTGTGCCGCCCACACTTATAAGCTGCCCCAAACGGACCCTTAGTAAATACAGTGATAAATTCTGTTAAAACCTCTCTACCAAATAAGTAGGCTTAACGTTAGTAGGATTTAGAAAATCCCTAACTCCTGAATTCTTAAATCCACCCATCCCTCCGATGCATATTTTGGCCTAATACAAAATTGGATTTACTAAATTCGAAAGTTCAAAAATCCATTTAAACCCTACGTTCAGTCATTTGGTAGGATTTAATAAATCCAATGATAAATCCTACTAAAACCCCTCTACAAACAGCACTATTGGTTCTTAAATCTCTTTTTTCCTCTATTTTGCTTTAAATACAAGATTCGGTAAATTCATTTGGATGACTGGTGTGCGTGTTTTAAAGAGAAAGAAGTGCTCCAAGGCGTATGGGAGCAAGGAGTGAAAGACAATGGTTAGGGTTACCTTCCTCAGTGGTTTCATGTAGGAGCGGGGCGGAAAGACGAGAGAGATGAGGCTTTCGGAATTCTTTGTGAGTCGTGATTTGTCGTGTTTTTCCCAGGTTGATCTCGAATGTAAATTTTTCACCAAGGCAGTGGTTTCGAGTGAAACCGGAAGGACAAGAAAGAAGTAGGCAGAGGGTTTCGGCCACGAGAGGGGGTATTTGATTCTAATTTAGAAAATTTTTACATATGTAGCACACAATTCTTATTATTATATATAATTTAGTAAATTAAAGTGATGCAGTATACATACGGCACGAAATCATGTGCAATGTAAGTCATATGTATGTAAGGAAAAGTGATGCAATATACAAGTTAGATAAAGTGATGCAGTATACACTAACTATTTTGAACAAAAAGAGTAGCATCCAAACTGCTTAAACAGTTAAACCAACAGTGTATTAAAATTTATATAAAATCTCATCCATATGAGATTTAAGAATGCATAATAGTCTAATCACAGATCACAACAAAACCCTTGTATCAGATGCAATCCATAAGAAAATCAGGTCTATAAGCAATAGCCGAATCACAGCATAAATACTTAAACCTGTATGAAATTAAAGCTTAAACCCATATGAATCCAGAATAAATGCACGATAGCCGAATCAAACATCACAAAAAAAGCCCTTATATCAGATCTCATCCATAAAAAAATCAGATCTAGATGCAATATGATAGATTTCACTCCCAAAAACTTCAAAAACTAGTTTTCACTCAAAAAATCTAAATAAATTTAAAAGAAATTTAAAAAAGTTTAAGCTAAGAGGCGAACCTGAAGATAAATATGAAATATTAAAGGAAAGATACTCAAAGATAACGCCTCTGTAGCCAAACAAGCAACCAGGCAAGAATATCCAGCAACCAGGCAAGAATATCCAGCAACCAAGCAAGAATACCGAGCAATCGAGCCAACGCTGACTCGCCGAGGACAAATAGAAGTAGAGTTTAGAAAACGAACGCAAACGGCAAACCCTGAGCTCTCTCGCGACCGAAAGCCTTTCGCGATTTTGAGAGTAGAAGCAGAAGACTCGGAAGAGGGACAGGCGCCGAACCCGAAAGCTTTCGAGAGGGAAGGGGAGGCCGGTTGGGTTAGGGGGCTTCGGGTTAGTATATAATTATATAATATTTATATAACTAATGGTAATATATTATTTATGAATATGTGTGTGTATGCGCGTGTGTGCGTGTGTAATATATACATATGTATACATATACAAATACATATATATGTATATACATACAGGTGTTATTGGTGTTATTCCGCGATGTCACACCGTGGAATAGCACCAATAACATCGCAAAATATTAAGTATATTTATAATTTTATTTATTAATTAATTTATTCATTTCTTTTCGAGCAATTCGAGTCAAACACGAGTGAACAAATATTTGTTCGTGTTAGTCTCATTTACATTTTGAGCTTAAAAATTTGTTTATGTTCGACTCGTTAAGCTTAATGAACAAGCCGAACACAAGTTGCTTAACGAGTCGAACATGACATATTCGCGAACGACAAGCCAATTTAACAATCCTAAGTATTGCCCCACCGAAGCTTCCCCGTGGGCGATACTTGTGCTACCCCGTCATGACCAGCAACAAATTACACGGCTAATGAGAAAGATTTGTCTTCAAGATAATCAGATAATGTACATGCAAATGCAACATGATTTTGTATAATACGATTGTCATTGCTGAGTTGGAACGATACATGCATACAAATACATGCATACATATACATGCATACATGTACAAACATACATCCATACCTATACATTCATACATATACATGCATACATATACAACAATGTAAGTCATATGTATGTAAGGAAAAGTGATGCAATATACAAGTTAGATAAAGTGATGCAGTATACACTAACTATTTTGAACAAAAAGAGTAGCATCCAAACTGCTTAAACAGTTAAACCAACAGTGTATTAAAATTTATATAAAATCTCATCCATATGAGATTTAAGAATGCATAATAGTCTAATCACAGATCACAACAAAACCCTTGTATCAGATGCAATCCATAAGAAAATCAGGTCTATAAGCAATAGCCGAATCACAGCATAAATACTTAAACCTGTATGAAATTAAAGCTTAAACCCATATGAATCCAGAATAAATGCACGATAGCCGAATCAAACATCACAAAAAAAGCCCTTATATCAGATCTCATCCATAAAAAAATCAGATCTAGATGCAATATGATAGATTTCACTCCCAAAAACTTCAAAAACTAGTTTTCACTCAAAAAATCTAAATAAATTTAAAAGAAATTTAAAAAAGTTTAAGCTAAGAGGCGAACCTGAAGATAAATATGAAATATTAAAGGAAAGATACTCAAAGATAACGCCTCTGTAGCCAAACAAGCAACCAGGCAAGAATATCCAGCAACCAGGCAAGAATATCCAGCAACCAAGCAAGAATACCGAGCAATCGAGCCAACGCTGACTCGCCGAGGACAAATAGAAGTAGAGTTTAGAAAACGAACGCAAACGGCAAACCCTGAGCTCTCTCGCGACCGAAAGCCTTTCGCGATTTTGAGAGGAGAAGCAGAAAACTCGGAAGAGGGACAGGCGCCGAACCCGAAAGCTTTCGAGAGGGAAGGGGAGGCCAGTTGGGTTAGGGGGCTTCGGGTTAGTATATAATTATATAATATTTATATAACTAATGGTAATATATTATTATTATTATTTTATAGGATTAAATGTTTTAAAATATGATAATTTTTTATTTAAAAATTTTAATTAATTATAATTTATAATATTTTATTTTATGAATATGTGTGTGTATGCGCGTGTGTGCGTGTGTAATATATACATATGTATACATATACAAATACATATATATGTATATACATACATACAAATATATATATGTATATATATATATATATATATACACACACAAACACACACATACATACATATACATACATACATACATAAATATATACATACATACATATACATATATAGATATATATATATATATATACAT